CAGCCTGTGTCAATTCCAAAATTAATATTATACTTTTTCTTCCAAAAAGTCTGATGCAAAACTTGCACGAGATTAAAGGTTTATAAAACTTTGACATAAACTAATATGAAAATTTAAAGATTTATGTTGTTTTAGAATGGCAAAACTTCACCTTAATCTTGAAGTAGCCGTTAGTTCATCAATCCAGTCAGAGTTCAACTCTGTTTCTCCAAACTGACATCAGTCTAAGATCTACCTACTGCAGGTAAGATATTAACTCTTCATAACCTTTCCACAGATCTCCACTTTAAAATATCTGCACTAACCCTTTACGCTGCATAAGAGCTCAAAGATAGTTTGTGTTCAGTTACATTGCTTGTTCTTAAAAACATACATTTTATGAGGATAAACTCAAACACAGAAGCATAAAACACAAAATGAAGATGTGATGGAAAACAGTGATGACATCACTGCTCTTCTCTTCCAGCCTGTGAGGACGGAGACTATTAGAGGTGATTAAATCAAGGTGATGAAGTGTGACCATGATGGTGAAAAAAGCACTTATCAATATTCTGGTTTTTAGTGCTGGAAGTTCATCAAGGTTTTCTGACTCTGAAGAATTGATTTAAAGGGGGTTGACGTCAAATGACTAATCAACGCTGAGTTTGTAACAGATAACAAAAAAACTCAACAAGACAAAACTGCCATGATTTATTTTGATATTTAAAGAAAAATGAAAGCAAAATCTGCTAAAAGGAAAGTTGTCAAAGACGAGGCAAACCACGACTGTGTGAATTAATCACATTGTTCTAAAACTGTTAATAAAATCAAAGTAATTGATTGGATATTTCATTCAATTAATGAAAAGGTGCACTGCAAACTTTTAGTTCTCATGTCAGATAAAACACTGGCTGATTTAAATATTTAGCAGTAAATGAAGAAACAACTATTTCAAATATTCTGCAGGGGTTAATGGAAATATTAAAGGTTTTTTTTTTTGCAATTCAGTCTTTGTAAGAATGTTTAAAATGCTTTATCGTTCGTTGAAAGGAATCTGAAAATAACCAAAATGTGCAGATATTTGATGTAACTTCATGAATATTAAAAATGCAATGAATCAAAAAACATTTTCACATTCTTTTAGTTGTCTTTGCTAAAGGTTGGAGAAGCCCCTGCTCTGTGCAAACCACAGAAACTTGATTTTTCCTGTGACATTTAAAGTTTACATAAGTTTTATAACTTAAAGAATTATTCAGTGAAAGTAGAAATTGCAACAGATACTCAAAGATTCACTGTTTTGAAAAAAAAATTAATTTGCATGTTGTTCATTTAATTAGGAGTTTTTGTGTCTCTGTGCCTCTTACAGTAAAAAGTTTTATTTATTTATTTATTTATTTATTTATTTATTTATTTCACCACTAGATAGAGCTGCAGGATCAAGTTCCAACTTCATGTTATACCAGAACTGGGCCCCAATATCTTCTCTACTGGTGTTAAACCTCCAACTGGAGGTCTCAGTCACTGGTTCCTTTATGTTGGATTTCAGGTGACCCAGTCCTCTGTAGAAGGTCACAATGAGCTCTTCAGCAGCATATTAAAAAAAATTGTCAGTCATTTCAGAAAGTGAAACTCATATATTCCATATTCTTGATACAGTTTATTTCTTGTAATGTTGATTATTATGACTTACAAATAATGAAAACTAAATTCAGTGTTTTACTTAGCCAGCTTTTGGTACGGCAGTGTGGACAGGAGCCAAGTCCATCCATTATCTTTTACCTGCTTCTTACTTTTCAAGTCATAGGGGGGGGTCACTGGTGCTCATGTCCAGCAATCACTGAGCAAGAGGCGAGGGACACCCTGGACGGGTCTCAAGTCCATCACAGGGACACATAGAGACACACAACCATTCACTCTCTCACTCTCACCTAGGGACAATTTAGAGTTACCCATCAGCCTAACATGCATGTTTTTGGTCTGTGGGAGGAAATGGGAGAAAACACACATACATGCAGAGAACATGCAAACTCCACCCAGAAAAGGTCCTCCAGCCGGGATTTGAACCAGTGCAACCAGCTTGCTGAGAGGCAGCAGCTCTACCAACTATCAAAGTGGACTCTCATTAGACTCTTCCTCTTCAGTGATGGACATGATGTCCAAATTAGGATGATCCAACCCAACAAGTCCTGGACCGGCCCTGCTGCTTGGATGTGTCAGTTTGCCAGAACATCCATCTATAAGGCCGACGACCCCAAACCAAAAGTTCTTCAGAAATATCTTCCTAGATTATTTCCATGCCCAAGTTTTGCTTTGACACCCACCGACGCTGTAGACATTTTGTCCACCTTGTACCTGTCCTCTGCTTCAGGTGTGTTCTGGTTCAGTCAAACTCGAAAGGCCTCATTCTTCAGCTTGTCAGTGTCCAAGGTGTCTACCAGTTGGACCTCTAAGCTGCTGCAAGGGCCTACACCAGACATTGTCAGCTTGAATACGTGTTTGTGATTATCAAATCGGTTTGCCAGTCTGCCATACAAATGCAGTCAACTTTCCAACAGGTCAGTTGAGAGCTCTGTTCATCTCTTCAGCTGCGTGACCGAGACACAAGGCTGCAGGTCTGATGATGCCACCAACTCAGGGTGACCTGGCACCAAGTGTATGGATGAACATGACTCCATGATATCCTGATGCATGCTCAATGATGCCCATGATGTTTGTTATGAACAGCTCATGCGTAACCCACAAGTCCTAAAAAATAGAACACCACTTTGATTCAAATAAAGGAGGCTGTTCCTCTCAATCACAATTGCTCATGGACAAAGACTCCAAGGAGAATGACAAAACAACCTGGATGACACCTAAAGTTGCTGTTTGGTGCACATCCATTTGGTGGGTATTCACTTGTTTGAATAATAGGAGACAGTTTGTACAGGTAAACAATGCAAGATCTGAATTTTGTGTTAATGGATGTGAAGTTCCTCAGGGCTCTGTGTTGGGACCAAAGTTGTTTATTTTGTATGTGGATGATCTGGATGATGTGTCAGGGCTTTTAAGCGTTATTTGCAGATGATCCCACATTTTTTTGTTCAGGTGAATATATTGAATGGATGTTTGAGATGATACAGGCAGGATTCGTAAAAATACAAACTTGGTTCCACCTTAAGTTATTAAATTTGGAAAAAACAAACTGCATTATAATTAGTAATACAAATAAAATGATCAAAGTCCCATTTAAAATTGACAGTATTGAAATTCATACTTAATGAAATAAACTTTTTGGTGTCGTTATTGATGAGAAGCTGACGTGGAAATCTCATGTAAATTACTTAAGAATAAAAAAACAGCAAAATCAATTGCATTAGTGTTTAAAGTAAAAGAGTTTCTGAATGACAAAGCTTTGTATATATTGTATAATGTCATAATTGTTCCATATTTAATATATTGTATTGAAGTTTGGGGAAAAGCATGAAAAACAATTACAAACCCTATTTTATTTTACAAAAAATAACTATAAGAATTATTAGTAGGAAGTGCTATGGTCAGCCAACAAATATATTCATTATTTCATCAGTTGAAATTATTAAAATGTTGATTTGGTTGAATATAGTATTTTACAAGTCATGTATAAAGCTCATAAAAAATACTACCCCTAAATATTCAATTAAAATTAGTTTAAAAAGAGAATCATAACATTAAGGGAATGGAAATGTTTGTGAAACCTCCATTTAGAACTAGTCTGAAAGAGCTGCGTTGTAATTCAGGGAATAGGATTATGGGATTGCCTCGATATCACCATAAAAATTCTAAAACCACTTATGTTTAAAAAGATGATTACCGGTAAGATAAAATTGTTAGGAAAGTATGATGTGAAGAATGCCTGATGTTTTTTGTTTTTGCTTTGGGGATTGTTCAAGCTTGAGTTGTTTGTATTTATATCTATATTTTTTTCTTAATAAGGGGCAGATATAATAATTTTTTTTCCTTCTTTCTGCACCCTTTTCATTCAGTGATTTTTTCTTTAAATGAATAAATAAAATAAATTTCTAGTCAGAAAGCCACTGTAGCTCAGTCAGAGCAGAACCCCAACACAGAGGCCAAGGGGCTCGTGAGCATTTCCACTTTCAATGACACTTCTCCCACACAACTCTAGGGTTCAAGAGTCCATCTTCTTGTTCCAGAAGTTTGGTTCCAGAGCCCAACATACATTTTATTGTCTCAATCTTTGCGATTTATAACAAAATAGCTACGCGTCTTTTTTTTTCCCCTCAACCTAAATATAATTTTTTTCCAAATAAAATTCACACCATTATCCTGCTTAGAGCACAAACTTCTGCAGCATCTGCCTTAATGCTGCAGTCTACACGCAGCGTGTCAGTAACTGAACAGACGTTTCTGTTTTATGAGCTGAAGAATAACGATCAGCTGTGGATGGATGGGGGGGGGGGGGGGGGGAGAGAAAAAACAAGACTAGGGAAAAAAGCAACTACGTAGAAATTATATGAGGTGGAAAACTAAACTGTTTCTTTTAACTAACATATTTGTGCTTGTGTAAATTTTTCAAGTGAAAATCTCACGGCAAAGTTTATTACAAGATTTTGGTAGAACATTATTGTTAAGCACTTATTACCCTGAAGTTAATAATAAAAAAATCAAAGATTAGGCTTAAAACAGCAACGACAGTTTATAAAAAGCAGATCAGCTGCTATTTATACTCTCACCACTTGGGGAAGCTGAACTTTATTAAGTTTTCACTTTTACAAATTAAACATTTTGTTACTTTACATCACAAGAACTGGATGATCGCCCAATTTGCTGCAACACAAACACGACTCGTGCGCACTTTTGCATAAAAACAAAAATAAAGAGCGCTATTTACAGTATAGCACAAGAAAACTGGCTCGGAACAGAACAAATATATTAAAAAAAATAGATATCATCGTTGCAAATGAACATTTTAATGCACACTTTAAACCTTAAAAGTGCGACACCAGGTGGAGCCATGCAACTGTGGGGCGGAGGAAGACTCATGGTGCCAAGTCGTTCCAGTGTCGTTCGTTGGGCAACACCTGACAGAGCCGCAGGCAGCAGCTCAAGGTGGGCTCATAGAATATGGTGTCGGGTTCCTCCAACGTGGCCTCGCTCTTCGTCTGCCGGGCAGAGCGGGCGAACAGCGAGGGTTTACGAGCTTTATCCAGAGTTTTCTTCGTCACACAGCCCATCTCTACAAGTGCCTGGGGAGGACAAACGGTAACTGTTAGGGGAATATTTTCCACGAACGTTCAACGTTTCAATCACTTGAGGAAAAATAAAGTTGAAAATTGTAAAAGAAAGAAAGCAAGAACAAAGAAAGAAAGAAAAATGGCTGCTACTGTATCATGATGAAGGATTTGATTAAATCTTTTATTCGGGGCCAAATCAAAGTGGCATGACTTGCCCAAATTAGGAATACAGAGAGAAATTAATTTACAGTATCTGTACTGTCACATGCAACACCAGCTCTGTAAAACAGCAAAACAACATGTTCATTAAACGGCAGACTGAACTTTGCTTTTGTATAAAACTAGACTATGTAGAGGCAGGGCAGCCGGCTTGGGACCCGAAAGTCCCAGGTTCGATCCCCAGTCACTGCACATCACGTGGCGTCTCTGGGCAGCACACCTCATCCCCAAAATGTCCCCCGGGTGCTTTCAATAGCTGCCCACTGCACCACCTGGTGGTGGATGGGTTAAATGCAGAGACTAATTTCGCCATTGTATGGAAACATACAGTGCTGACATTGTGATGACATTATTATTATTATTAAAAGGAAACGCTTCATGTAGCTCATGAGGGTTAATATTTTATTGTGTCAATGTTTGTTTATTTTACTTCTGTACATTTTTCAGTGTGATTCTCGTCCCGCAGTTTTCAAACAATTTCAACAATTCATAAATCAAAACGTTCAGCTCGTTCAGGACAATCCTGCTATGACTTTTGGTATTGGTGCAACTTTAGCTTTTTGAAATATTTAGCCTTTTCTGCCTTTTTTTTTTTCTCATAGAAAATGAATTGAGCTCATTTTAAATGCTTCAAATCTTTAGATGTGTTCACAACCTTTTACTGCTCCTTTCACATTTTGTTCTCGTTCAGCTTCTTTCAGCTTCCTTGTGCAAATTTAAAAAAATTTCTTCAGCTACTTTCAACTTTTTTTCAGTTGGTTTCTGCTCCTTTCTAATATCTATGACATTTTTGTGCTTGTAACTTCTTTCTGCTAATTTCAGCTTGTTAAGCTCCTTTCAGCTTATTTCTGCAAGTTTCAGTTTTTTCAGCTATTTCAGCTACTATTCAGCTGTTTTTATGCTAATTTTAGTTTTTTCAGTTAATTCCACATTTTTTGCAATCGTTTCAACTTTTTTCAGCCTAATTGAGCAAAAACGTGCTCTCTCCACTTCATTTTGGTAATTTAAGCTTTTTTTGCTTTTGTAGCTACTTTTCAGCTGTTTTTTTAATTGCTAATTTCAGATTTTTTTTCAGTTAATTTCCAATTTTTTGTGCTCATTTCCACTTCTTTCAGCCTAATTGGGCACACACGTGTTCTTTCTGCTTTCGCCTGCTAAGTTAAGCTTGTTCTACCTTTTCGGCTGCCTTTTTAGCATTTTTTAGCTAATTTCAGCCGTTTTCAGATCAATTCAAGTTTTTTGTGGTAACTTTTGCTACTTTCAGCCCAATTAACTTCCTTATGCTAATTTTAGCTTGTTATGCTCCTTTCAGCTTGTTTCTGCTAGTTTCAGTTATTTAAGCTATTATTTAGCTGTTTTGTGGTATTTTAGCCTTTTCAGCTAATTCCAAGTTTTTTTAATCTAGTGTCAGCTCTTTACATTTCCTTCTGGTAACTTACTTTTCTTTCTGCCTTTTCAGCTATTTTTTTGTTGTTGTTGCTAATTTCAGCCATTTTTTTTAATAGCTAATATAATTTTCAAATTTTTGTGCTATTTTCTCATTTAAACCTAATTCAGTAAATACGTACGTGTTCTTTCTGCTCTGCTGCTAATTTAGGCTTGTTCATTCTTTTCAGCTAAAATTCAACCTTTTTTTTTTTTTTTTAGCTAATTTTGGCTGTTTTTCAGCAAGTTTTTCTCCAATAAGCATTCACATTGCATTTTTGCAGGAAATGCAATTCCTCTAGTTTGATGTTGTTTTGGATGCGTAGGCTAAAATAAACTAAGGCTAACCTAACAGGTAACTCGGTTTACCTGCACGAGGTCCAGCACGGCCACTGGCTGCAGAACGTGTTTGTAATGCTCCAGCAGCGCCTGCTGTGTGAGTCCTGGTTGGGACATGATGTGGAAAAGAACGGCCTCCAGGATGCCCTTACACACGGGCCGGTTCAGCTTTCCATCAATGAAACGCCACGGCCGGCTGATGAAACTCACATTTTCCCTGTGCGGAGTAGAAAATGGGACAAGGAGATGGACATAAGAGAAGATGAACTAAGAAAAGACAATTAGCCCCTTAGAGGTGATACTCACTCCTCATCAGCTGATCCCGATGGTAAAGAGTCTGCCTCTTCGGCTCTTTTGTCGTCTAAACTGCTCCTGGTCCTCCTCCTGGTTTCCCGTCTTTGCTCAGTTTCCATCTTCTCTTCAGAACACGTGTGCACTTCTTCCTCTTTTTCCAAACTTTGTGGTTTGTCTCCACCATCTGCCGTCTCCTGCTGCTGTTCTTCCTCATCAGGTATCTCTGTTACGGTAGACGGTTCATCCGTATTCACGCTGTCAGAAACCTTTTCCGTGTCCACAGCTGGTGTTTTTGCGGGCGGCTCCTCGGTCTCCCGACGCAGCTCTCTGCTGCATCTCTTGCGCATGAAGGGGATGTTGTGTCGACTCTTCAGGAAGGGACGTCTCTCAGACGTTAAGTGACACTGAGGCAGCTGTTTGCAGTTGACAGTCAGCAGCCACGGGTCAGCGTGCTGCATGAGGACCCAGCGGACGCCCACACTGCCCACTCGGACCACCTGGAGGCCTTCTTGTAAATCCTGAAGAAAAAAAAAAACTGTCAGGCACCTGTCCTCTGCACCGATGAACTGATAAAACGACAACTTACTGACTTGCTTTATTTTTTGTATGGTTGTAAAAACATCCTAATAATAAATATTCTGATAATATGTTTAAACAAGTGTCTACCCAAATGAAAATCAAAATCCCACCAACTATAGAAAAAAAATTGCAAATACAAACAACTTTTTAAACTTGACTTTTCTATTCCAATATATAAATAACACAATTCTGCGTCGGCTATTTATTAAAAAAGACCCAGTTATCCCCTACAGTCTGGCAAAGTGATGGCAGCATCACAGTGAGCCGACTGTCATAAGAGTATTAAGGAGAGAAAGAAAAAGGAGTAAAAATCTGAGTAAAAAATGCCTAAAATAATACAGTGTTCCCTCACTTATCACAGGGGTTATGTTCCAGACACCCCTGCGAAAGGTGAAAACCTGCAAAGTAGGGATGTTATATTTATTTTTGTATATACTGTATATAACTCTAAAGTAGGAATGTGTGATATATACGGTACACGGTAGAAACTATAGACAGTTGGTCTATGATAGAGATCTGTTTTCTACCGACTAACCACAGTGATGCTGTAAAATCAGAGTTGTCAGATTTAACTGTTAAGTTTTTTTTGTTGAAAACTGTGCGTAAATGGTGTTAAAGTCTATTTTCTTCAAGTTCTAAGTAGCAAAGCTACAAGCCAACTACGTCCGGCTTGCCGTACTGTTGTCGTATTCAGATACGTGCGCAAAACGCTGTGTTCCGTTGAAAGCTAAAGTAAGAGTTGGTTAGCTTTAGAAAGTGCACTGGTGCTAAAAAAAAAGGGGTAAACCTGCTCTCTGATCTGTGAAAAGAACACGGTGTTGTGTGATTTTACTGCGAGACTCTGTCTGGTCAAAGCCGCAGAGGAAACTGGTTACCATTTTGTGTCAACTTTCCTTAAAGCGGAAGGAGACGCCCACTGGAGGGACCCCTCTTTTGCTTTTGAAGCCAAACCTTCGTCTGTCAGAAACTGACCCACTGGACTGGTGGAGAATGCACCAGGTTGATTTTCCAAGAATGGCAAGTATGGCCAAGAAATAACTTTGCATTCCAGCCACGAGTGCTCCTTCAGAAAGGACATTTAGCATTGGTGGCAACATTGTTTCAAGCCAACGGTCTCTGTTAAAGTGTTCTTGGCCAACAATCTTTAGACTAACAAATGACAGCAATATTTTAATTTTGTTAAGTGTTTTCAGTGTGCACTATGTAAAATGCTGCTCTGTTGCTGTTCATTTCTTAAGTGAAGACTGGAAACTGTTAAGAGTTAACAACATATTCTTTAGTTTAAAACATATGGCTAAAACTACATTTGATATATTTTGCACTGTTTTGCACTACAAGAAAGAACCTCCATGTTTGACAGTGGTGATGGTGTGTTCAGGGTGATGAGCTGTGTTGCTTTTACACCAAACATATTGTTTTGCATTGTGGCCAAACAGTTTGATTTTGGTTTCATGTGACCAGAGCACCTTCTTCCACATGTTTGGTGTCTCCCAGGTGCTTGTGTCAAACTTTAAACTACACTTTTTATGGATATCTTTGAGAAATGGCTTTCTTCTTGCCACTTTTCCATAAAGGCCAAATTTGTGCAGTGTACGACTGATTGTTGTCCTATGGACAGACTCTCCCACCTCAGCTGTAGATCTCTGCAGTTCATCCAGAGTGATCATGGGCCTCTCGGCTGCATCTCTGATCAGTCTTCTCCTTGTTCCAGATGAAAGTTTAGAGGGACGGCCGGGTCTTGGTAGATTTGCAGTGGTCTGATACTCCTTCCATTTCAATATGATTGCTTGCACAGTGCTCCTTGGGATGTTTAAAGCTTGGGAAATCTTTTTGTATCCAAATCCGGCTTTAAACTTCTCCACAACAGTATCTCGGACCTGCCTGGTGTGTTCCTTGGTCTTCATGATGCTCTCTGCGCTTTGAACAGAACCCCGAGACTATCACAGAGCAGGTGCATTTATACGGAGACTTGATTACACACAGGTGGATTCTATTTATCATCATGAGTCATTTGGGACAACATTGGATCATTCATAGATCCTCACTGAACTTCTGGAGTGAGTTTGCTGCACTGAAAGTAAAGGGGCCCAATAATATTACACGCCCCACTTTTCTGTTTTTTATTTGTTAAAAACAGTTTGACACATCCAATAAATTTCATTCCACTTCTCGATTGTGTCCCACTTGTTGATTCTTCACAAAAAATTAAAATGTTATATCTTTGTTTGAAGCCTGAAATGTGGCAAAAGGTTGAAAAGTTCAAGGGGCCAAATACTTTCACAAAGCACTGTATGTATATATATATATGAAGAAATTCTGAAAAGTCAGAAAATTCCAGATTCTAATTATTTTTCGTTATCAGTGTACCCCAATGCTGCTAATAGTTTTTTTATTTGATTTAATAAGGAAGTAAGAGTACAAGGCTTACTAGTTCTGAAGGCTCAAACGAAGAGAACATTAATCGAGGACATTGGTCCGAGCGTGTGTTCACCTTCAGGTACTGCTGCAGGCTTCGAGTTCGTCCAGACTGCGGCACCTGCAGGTGCACGTGAGCCCTGCGGACGTCATCGGCGTCCAAACCGTTCTCACCAGCTTCGTCCAAGCTCCTCCTGAGCTGAGCGCACGCTTCAATATCCTGAGCGGTGTATCCTCGCTCCTGGACGAAAAGCCTTTCACACTCCTCCACGCTGGGTGGAGTCGAGTTTGGTGAACGGACGAAGGAGGTAAAGATGGAGGGCAGCAAGGACGGGCCGCATTTGGTCAAGTTTAATGATGGAGAGACTTAAAATAAAGAATAATATAAATAAAAATTTAACACTTTTCTGCTGATAAAACATGTTTTTAAAGGATCTGTGTGCATAAATACTTACGCTGATCGATGAAACAATGATGAGCAGGTGTGTCGCGCAGCTTCAGCCTTAAAATACACGACTCCACCACGATGTTATCGTTCGTGCTCAGGGTACCCACTTTGACTAGAAATAAACCCAGAACTATTAACAACTCCAAGTTAGGCTGAAATAAACATGCTTTAATGAAATTAAGGATTAGCTGATAAAGACATTTGTTGATTGATTAAATTGTTTCAACAGAAGTCCAAAACTAAAATATCCAACTGATAATTGCAAAACAAAGTTTTAGTCAACTGTTGTTGTTTTGCACAGGTTGGACTAGAAATTACGTTTATTTTTATTTGACAACAAATTTTTGTTTGACTTTTCGAAATTATACAATTAAATCATGAAATATGTGGCACACACATCTAAAAACTGTTTGTACACGTTTATTTCAACACTTCACCTTCCACTTTCTACGTTTCAGTTTAAAAAGCTTCTTTCTGTTGCACATTTTGATGATTTTGTTTGAAACATTTTGTTTTTCCCTCGATAAAACGAGATAATACACTTTGTTTGAAATGTTTCACATCTGAGTCCACTTACATCAATAACTAACCCTGAAAATCAGACTGTTTTATTGTGCGAATGTTTATGAAGCATTCACACTATTGTGATCCATCTTTTTCTGTAAATTTTTCTGTATCTTTCTCGTTCCACAATTTTTGTACTATTTCAACAAATCATAAATCAAAATGTTCAGCTCGTTCAGGAGAAGGGTGCTATGTAGAGCTGCCATTTCTAACCCGGGCCCGCACCGGGTCGGTGTCGGGCTTTTGATTGCGTCAGCGGACGCAAACAGCTGACGAACCAATTTGGATCATCAGCCATGCGCGTCCACTGACCGTTAATAACTATAATATTGTAATAACTATAATAATCCACTGACTGTCTGATTTTTTTAGGCCCGAATGCAACTCTAATGCTATGAGTTTTGGTATTGGTGCAACTTTAGCTTTTTGAAATATTTAGCTTTTTCTGATATTTTTTCTCATAGAAAATGAATCGAGCTCATTTTCCATCCTTCAAATCTTTAGATGTGTTTACAACCTTTTACTGCTCCTTTCACATTTTGTTCTGGTTCAGCTTCTTTCAGCTCTCTTGTGCAACTATAAACATTTTTCAGCTACTTTCAGCTGTTTTGTGATCTTTTCAGATTCTTTCTGCTAACTACAACATTTTTGTGCTTCTTCTAACTTTTTTCTGCTAATTTCAGCTTGTTGTGCTCCTTTCTTTTGGGGGCCAAGATGGGGGTAGAGGCAGAGCAGCCGAACTGGGACCAGAAACTCCAGGTTCGACTACCAGCCATTCCCACATGTAGTGGTGTCTCTGAGCAAGACACCTAATCCCCAATTGCTCCATGGGCGTTCACCCACTGCTCCACCTGGGTGTATCTCAGGTGTGATGGTTGAATGCATTTTGCCATTTTATGAGAACATACAATGATGACAACACATAGCATATTATTATTATTATTATTTCTGCTTTTTAGGTACTATTCAGCAGTTTGTTGGTTTGTTTTATTGAAAACTTCTGCTTTTTTTCCAGATAAGTTCCACTTCTTTGTGCTCTTTTTGGCTTCTTTCAGCCTATTTGGGAACAGTTGTGCTCTCCACTTCCTCCTGGCAATTTAAGCTTCTTCCTGCCTTTTCAGCTACTTTTTTGTTGTTGTTGCTAATTTCAGCTTTTATAGCTAATTTTCTAAATGTTATGTTCATTTATGATTATTTAAACCTAATTCAGCAAATATGTGTTCTTTCTGCTTTCTTCTACTAACTTAGGCTTGTTCTTCCATTTCAGCTACACTTCACCATGTTTTAGTTAATTTCAGCTGATTTTCAGCAAGTTCTTTAGCAATAAAGCATTCATACTGCATTTTTGCAGGAAATGAAGTTTCTCTAGTTGTCTTTGGTTCTCTGAAAACAACAATTTCTGTTGTTACCATTTTAGGGTTCTAACGTTCAACCATTTTATTGAAACCATCCATCCAAAGCTTTACCAATGCCAGGAGAGCAGTATCCTCGCATCAGTAAGTAATTGGTGTGCGACGCTTGATGTGAAGATACTTGAAGCCTTTTCTTCCCCTCACACTCCTCACCGCCATCCTCATCATCGTCGTCATCGCCTTCCAATGAAGCCATACTGGAAATAAAGAAACAAGAATTCTTGTGGGTTTTGTATGTTGGTTTGAATGTTGTTTCATTCTGTTGATTCATAAAAATGAAACTTCGTCTGTTCCCTTCTTTCAGGGGTCGCCACAGCGACTAAGCCGCACGAAGACTTGGCAATTATTTTTACGCTGGATGCCCTTTCTAACAGAACCACAGACCACCGAGCTACCACAGCCCTCTGTGTGGAGCAGAGAGCTGCTATCTATGGCACCCGAGGGTGCAGGTGGTGGGGGTGCTCATGGGCCCAGAGTGGGGGAAATGAGAGTGGAGGCAGGTGTGGGCGCTTCACCTTTCCCAACCACATTTTGATGTTGTCGGTACCGGGAGTTGAACCAGCGATCTTCCGATCACAGGCCCACCTTCTCTAACCTCTGCGCCACCACTTCACCAATTCATTTAAAAAAAACAATTAATTAATTAAAAAAAAGAACAGCTGAAAAATAACAAGGGTATATTTGATGTATTTTAGTGAAAAAACAAATGTATTCTTGCTGATAATTTAAAAAACAGTTTTGCTTCAGTGAATAGAAAACTGCACAGCAGTGATAGAAACAGGAAACTGGACATTAGAAGAAATAATTTCCATGACTACCCCACTAACTCTTATAATGGAGGGATAAAAAAACAAAAAAAAAACAGTTTTAAATGTTTAACCCACCTCAGGCCAGAAACCTAAATTCAGCAGATTCTGGCATGGAGTATCAGTTCTGATGGACCATCAACACATTTTTAATTCAGCAGGAGAGCTTTTGAACTATTGTTCAGTCTGCCAACATTAACAATCAGCTCAAATCAAAGAAGTGACTTTAACTTTATGACTTTAAAACAAAAGAGGTGTGAGGCTGTTTTGTTTTAACTGTTTTTCATGTAAATGTGTTGGTTTTTCATGATTGTGACACAAAATTAAATTAAATTAAATTCAAAAATACTTTATTAATCCCAAAGGGAAATTAAATGTTGTAACTCATTCTCCTCGTTTCATTAAAAGATGTTTGTTAAGAGATACTGATGGCTGTAGGCAGGAAGAATTTCTTGTAAAGGTCCGTCCCACAGTGGATCCGAAGAAACTGGCCGCAGATGCCGTCCAATCCGTCCACCCAGACTAGGCTGGCCTCTCGGTTCCTCCAGGCAGCAGGACCGCCCAAATGCTGGGCTGATCTTCTCCCAGAGCCATCTCAAGAACCTCCCAGCAGGCTACCAAGCTCCTCGTTACTGTAAACAACCGACTGCAGGTACCAGGGGATGACCCTGTCCTGCTGTCCCGAGCTGTGTTTCCTGCCAGCTCCAGGATCTCAGTGGTCAGGCACTCGAGCACAGCCGGCAAGGAGACGGGAATGCATCTACAGCACCTCCTTTTCAACTCATTTGAGAATTGGGGATGTAGTTGAGATATTATTTGAGCTTTTGAGGTGTTGATCAGCTGCTCCCAGGTATATAAACCACCTTGTTGTTATGGTTACACATCATAACAAATGTCCAAAACTAAAAAAGTTTCAGTAAATATTCTTCCAGCTTCACAGCATCCGATACCAGAGGAAACAATCGTCACAAAAAATGTGATTTACATCCAGAAAAAAGAGGAAGTTTCCAAAAGCAAAATGTCAGAATGAAAGTAACAGAGCTGCTCCAACATGCAGTCACATTGAGCGTCGCAATTCTAGAACAAAAGCCTGTATGTCTGTAAATGTTTCCAGTACTTCAAACAAGTGAATGTCCATGAGTCAGTTGTTTTTAAATTCTTCTTCTTTCAGCTTTTCCCTCTTCAGGGGTCTCCACAGCGAGTCACCCTCCTCCATCTCACTCTGTCCTCTGCATCCTGTCCTCACTCCAACTACCTCCATGTCTCTAACTGCATCCATATGTCTCCTCTTTGTCTTTTTCCAGGCAGCTGCATTTATCACATCCTTCTACCAATATACCCATTGTCCCTCCTCTGGACATGTCCAAACCATCTCAGTCTGGTCTCTAACTTTATCACCCAGTTGTTCAACCTGTGCTGTACCTCTGATGATCTCATTCCTAATCTTTTTAAAAAATTATTATTCTTTAAATAAAGACACTAATTTCACCCGTGTATCAACGGTCTCTCACCTCTTCACCACATCTTTGTCCACCAGGTTGCTGTCCACCATCACGATCTGTTTGGGGATGGACACGAAGACGCTCAGCAGTCCCAAAGACATGAGGCTGAGCGAGACGAGACAGGCTCCACCTAGAGAGTTCAGGGAGAAGCGCAGCATGTCTGACACATCTGGAGGATCCTCTGAAGCTTCAGTCGTTTGTAACGAAGCAGCCAAACTGTCTGATGACTGCTGCTGATCATCCGTCAGCGCTCTGCTCGATGGAGCATCACCAGGTTCAGATTTTAGAGAACATTGTAGCTTTTCCTGTTCATCTGTTGTGCTTTTTGTTACGGTTTTCTCATTGTTGGTATCTGACATTTCTTCTGCCTGCGTTGGATTTTGAACGCCATCTTGGTCCTTCGCGATTTTCGCTTCTGGAGTTCCGGTTTGTGGTGTGCCTGCTCGGCTGCCATCTTCTTTTGCCCGGCTCCGCTTTTCTTTTAGTGACGGCTCGGTTTTTCTTTCCAACACCTCCTCGCCATTCTGAGAGCGGTTTTCAGTCTCATAATAGAAAGTAGTGACGGGCTTTTCGTCCCCGCAGCCGTTGGTGATCAAACTCCGGAGGAAGCAGAAGGAATCGGTGCACAGCGAATGAGGAAAGCGCCACGAAAAATGCCTGTCGAAGAGAAATGTACAAAAACATGGAAGTTTTAAAGTAGGTTCAATCTTCCTTAAAAATGTTTACTAGAAATTTTTTTTAAAGTTGACAAAAGAAAAATGGCATGGTGCTCATTGTATCTCCTGCAACATTTTACCCTCTGAGTAATTTTGATGGAATGGCCAATATCCGATATTTAACGTTATCGCTAAAATCGGCTGATACCGATACAATGCCGATAATATCGTGCATCCCTAATATATTTTTTCTTTTTTTTAATAAGTACACATTTCAGTGAATGTGTTATGCTAGTCACATAATCATTGTGACAGAAATATGTTTTTTTGTTAAAATTTTTATAAAAGGCAGCAGAAATAACTAAAGTTATCTTTTCCAATGAATTTAAAAAAAAGCATGTTTTCCATTCCCAGCAGTTTTCTCTCAGTGAGTGTGTACCTGTAGTAGGTTTGGGACAGCTGGAAGGACATGGGCAGGATGGGCAGGCCTCGATTCTTCTTTGGCCCCAACGTCTGACCGACACGACGACGGTTGAGCAGACGCCTTTTCCTGGATTGGATGAACACTTGGCACAGCAGCTCCTGGTCGTACTGACTGTACGTGTGAAAGGTCTTAAAGACACATCGAAAATAAATTTTACTATAAGATTTTTATCTACAAAACTATTTCTCAACATTGATCCTGTACACATTGTAATCCCTGATCTAATATTTTAAAGTTATCAAAGTCCTAAAAAATGGAAATAAAAATTGTGACATTAAACAACAGCAGACTTTTATGACTTTTTAACAGAAGGTCATACTGGGAGAAACTAATCTGGGTTAAAGAAATACAGAAATACATCATTATAGCATTGTTACCTTCACAGTTTTATCTACTCACAAGAACAGAAACTGTAAAAACTTGAGTGTGTGATCATCATCTTGATATCTGACGAAGACATTTTGTGAAATTTTTTTTTTGGTACCTGAAAGGACCTGGAAGTCTTCATCTGACTGTTGGTCATGGCCAGAGTACTCTGGATCAAATTATGCAATACTATGGCATAAATTTCAACTTTGCTGTGGTGAGAAAATATAAACAAACAGTAAGAACAAAAGAGCATTTGCAACAGGAAAACAAGGAAGAACTGAATTACATTCTTACCTGTTTAAAACGTCTTTGCACTTAAACGGCTTTCCATCATCAATAGCAGAAATTTTAAACCTGTAAAACACAGAGTTTTACTTTCAGGGTCCCCAGCATTTCAGGAAAACTAAATTTTGTGAGCTTTCTCTGATTTTTCCCTGAGTAAATCCTGAAATTCCAGGAGTTATTTCAGTCACATGAAATGCTCAGAACTTCGCATCTTAGGTGGCGAGCCCAGTCACATTCGGACAGAACAGCAAGTGTACTGTACTGTAGCCCACGGTACATGCCTACTGCAATCAAGGCGTTTCCTGGCGCTCAGAGTTACACAGAATCTTTTTCTGAAAAAGAAACCCAGTTTAATTTTCAGTTTCTTTACCAAGTTTTCGACGTGGGCCTTAAAAAGATGCAAATTGACCAAGATACCAAAGTATTTGTAGGAATGGACAAACTCAACAGGAACACCATTCGAAGATAAAATACAAGGAAGGACTGCTGGGACCGACTTCCTGTTCGAAAACAACATCACTTTGGTTTTGTCGGCGCTTTGTCATCATCCTTTGTTAAAAACAGGTCTCACTTGCAGGGCAGGACAATAATTCGATATCGATATATATCACAATATAATTTCATTCAATAACGGTGATTTTAAGCACATTTTTGACATTTTGATATGAATACAGCGTTTCACTGACGCGTTTCTTTTTCTGTTCGGGTTGAAGCGGCTGCTTCAGTTTCAACCTGAACAGAAAAAGCTGCGACACGACGACGTAAGTGTGTGGTGATGTACACCACAGCTCGAAGGGGTCAGCAGTAGCAGGCTAGGCCAAGCTAAGCTCCAACGCACGGTAAGGTTTCGCTTCAAAATGAGTGCCCATGACCGTCAGAATGTGGCCGAACAAGCTTTCACAAGCGAAAAGAAAGCAGATGACATAAGTGATAAGCGAGGAAAGACTAATTCGGTGGTGTGGAAGTGGTTCAGCTATCTAAGTGTGCTGCAAAATGTGCCAGAGTCTTTCCAACTACCAGCGGGAACACATCTAACTTGTTCCATGTGAAGAGTTTCCACTCAACAGAATACGCTGAGAGTCAGAAGATGAAGCACAATAAAAGTTTGAGCCAACGTGTCCCTGAAACAACACCCCCAGCTGTATCAAGAGAAACCCATGCAGCAAATTGTTTGGTTATGTTGTTGTTTAAAGTTAAAACTATTAATGCTGATAAAGTTGAGAGTTTTATGTTTATTTGATGTGATTTCAAATTTCTTTGAAGGTTATATACAAATAAAAGGTGAACATTAATTTTTTTCTACAGTTTATACAGTTTTTCTGAGGCTTTTATTTTGTTTATATTGATACCGAATTATATCGCTATTGACTGAAATTAAGAAATATATTGTGATAAAAGTTTTGGCCATATCGTCCAGCCCTACTCTCTTGTAAATGAGTCCTCGAGGCTCAATGAGACTAACCTGTATAAATAAAGGTTGAATTAACTTCTAGTAAATAATTATAATGTAAGATATACTAAAACTACATAAGATACTAAAGAGCCACCATAGCCAATCCGTAAGGATACATGTATTGTGTATTGTAGAAGCAGAACATGGACTCAGTGGTACTAAAATACTAGCATTAATACATGTACACGTCAAATCTCAGAAAGATCATCTTTCAATCAGCAGATCGGTAAATTCCTTGAGTTATTCTTGTCTGGAAAACGTGAAAGCCATTTTCCAGGTTTTTCCCTTTTTCCTCAGAGTCACTGGGAACTCTTGACTTTATTCTCATTTGTTTTAAATAAAAACAAACAAAATCACGTGTTTGTACCGTGAGAAGAGCTCCTGTTTGGAGTCAGGTATGATGAAATCCTGAGTGTTCATGATCGAGGTGAACTTCTGTCTGAGAATACGGACAAACTCTGTGAACGCTTTGGCACAATCCTGAAACAAAACGGGGCAAATGTTCAGGTCGAGTCAGAGCCATTAGCCTGAACTAGAGACACAAAACACACACACATGAACACACCTCGGCGTTATCAGGGTCCGCAGGTTTGTTGTCCTCCAACTGACTCATCAACGTTTTATCCTGGTACATTTCAGCCAGACTGATCCTGCACCAAATACTCATATTGAAAACTTGATGGGAGACTCCATTTTGGAAAACGCGCACCAGTTTAGCACCTGCACCCACCTGTAGTTCAGATGCGTTTGAGGATTTTTGAGTATGTATCTTGAGCGACGTCCGACAGCCAGGGATGTTTTATCCACAGATATCTCAAACTCTGAATGGAGCAGGTCTCTTACGATGCAGTACGGTACAAACGCTCTCTTTAACTGTAAAACACAAAAACAAGGAGTCATAAAGTTATATCCAAAAAGATAAAATTAGATGTGAATGGGAAACCTTACAAACAGCTAAAGCTAGAACGTTCCTGGAGAAACTTTGACGGGGACTGCCACGCTGCTGCCAATTAAAAATTTTGATTTGACAGGACTATGTGTTGTGATTCACTCTCAGCTACCACTATACCAGTTATCAGCTCAATATGGCCCAAACAATCAATGAGTTATAGTCATTTTTTTCTTTTAAGTGGCCATCTTGGATTTTTTATTTGGATTCAGCATGAGACTGGGAACATTTTCAGCTATAACCACACCAAATTTCAACTCTATATGCGTGAAAATAGCTTAGTTAAAGCATTTAAATGTAGCTTTGGCGGCCATCTTGCAATTTTGATGTGGATTCCATGTGTAATGGGAAACGTTCTCAGCCATCGCCACACAAAATTTTAGCTCAATATATCTAAAAATTAGCCGATTTATAGTATTTTCCTTTTTAGCTCAGGTGGCCATCTTGGATTTTTGATTAGCATTAGGAATGTTTGAAAACTCACTCTCAGCTACGATCAGAGCAAGTTTCAGCTCAATATCTATCGCAAAGAATCAGCGTTGTGTAAAAAAACACATTTGTATGAATCCGTTATGATTGTCTATTGTCATTGTTGTCCACTGTTGCCATCACTCTTTGTTAAAATCCAGGTCTCTCTTGTAAATGGGTCCTCGTGGCTCGGTGGGACTAACCTGTTTAAATAAAGGTTGAATGAGTTCTGTCAGGCATTTTGAAAAAGAAAAATGACTTCTTTGTTAGCAAATGACGTCGCCATGGTAACTCGAAACACTAATAAAAGTAATGGCACACATCACGGCTCAAAGCCTGTCGTTTTGATATAACATTTGTGGGGGTACAAATTACAGTTCAGGCCACATTAAAGTTGACAGAAGAGTAAGATACAAAGTTAAGAAACCTTTTGTCAGGTGGATAATAATAGGTGTGTAGTGAACTTGACCTGATGTCAAATCAATGACCTTAGGATCATATGGTCAGGAACTGTCATTTCATTGATCTGCATCTAGAAATACAGGTTGATCGATCCTGAGACTTTCTTTCTTGAATTAATCAAGTGGAAAAGACAATTCTCTATGATCATTACTATTTTACAAATGTTTTGATAATCAAATTGTGTTAGTTCAAACAATGTTTACAGGTTGAAGTGAACTACTCATTTTTATTTACTTAAACAGTAGTAATGATTTTTATTCCTCATTCAAAGAAGAAATCAGGGTAATATGCATTTCTTGATTTTTCTGTCTTCAATGAGCAAATTTGTAAGTGTGTTAAAGTTCAGGCTTCGGTCAACTAAAAAGTTTACTGAAAAGAAATGTCATGTTTAACTTTCACAGCAGATACTAGGAGTAGAGATGCCACTAAGTCTGGTTTTTCCATGATATCTTTCTGTCTGTTTTTAAACAATCCTTGACTTTCCATAACACCTTACATCACAAACCACACCTCTGTTCTGGTTCATCCACGAATCATATTCATACATTAAACGGGTTCTTCATTTTTCTGACTGTGTAACATGCGTGCATTGAATTTAACAGAAATGTAACGAGAGACGTTATTTATCTTTGACCCATCAAAATGAATGCGGTCATTTATTTACAGAATCAAAGTTTAACATCAAACATTTACATTAATTTGGCAAAATATGAAAATAACAACAGCATAGTTTTACAGGGAGTGAGAACAATACGGCGATTGTTTTCACTTTTCAGCTAAAACGGCAGACATCAATTAATCAGTTTTACAACCAGGAAAACCATACGGCCATGGTTTTCCGTTGCTTCACCACAGACATTAATGAAAACATCTGGATTAATTTTCTAGCAGAAAGGAGAGTTTAAAGATGGAAAATGGAGATTTATCTTACAGAGAGATGTGTGAGGGAATTTATCTGTTTTAACCAGAACAGCACGCTCCATTGAAATCAGCTTGGCCAACGGTACGCTTGGTCGAAATAGAACTTTTACCTTGCAGACGATAGCTTCAGCGTCGGTGTAGAGCTCTCCTTTTGACTCTTTCAGCGTCTCCGTGAGGACAGCTAAAATATCTCGAGAGTCGTGCGAGGTTATCCAAACAGAAGTTATAATTCCCAAAATCGTCTCTGGTTCAGCTCTGCATTCTGGATTCTAAGAACTCTGAACTCCTTCAGAACTCTGAACTCTTGAACTCTGAAACACTGTAACCCATCTCTTCTCAACTCTTGAACTCTGGAACTCTCAAAACTCTTCGAACTCTGGAAACTCTTCCATCCTCAACTCTACTGTTGAACTGGGAAGTTGCCACATTTAAAATGGGCTCTACTTCCGGTTCATTTGAGAGCTTTCTGATTCGTGGATGAACCAGAACAGAGGTGTGGTTTGTGATGTAAGGTGTTATGGAAAGTCAAGGATTGTTTAAAAACAGACAGAAAGATATCATGGAAAAACCAGACTTAGTGGCGTCTCTACTCCTAGTATCTGCTGTGAAAGTTAAACATGACATTTCTTTTCAGTAAACATTTTAGTTGACCGAAGCCTGAACTTTAACACACTTACAAATTTGCTCATTGAAGACAGAAAAATCAAGAAATGCATATTACCCTGATTTCTTCTTTGAATGAGGAATAAAAATCATTACTACTGTTTAAGTAAATAAAAATGAGTAGTTCACTTCAACCTGTAAACATTGTTTGAACTAACACAATTTGATTATCAAAACATTTGTAAAATAGTAATGATCATAGAGAATTGTCTTTTCCACTTGATTAATTCAAGAAAGAAAGTCTCAGGATCGATCAACCTGTATTTCTAGATGCAGATCAATGAAATGACAGTTCCTGACCATATGATCCTAAGGTCATTGATTTGACATCAGGTCAAGTTCACTACAGGTGCCTGCTGTGAATTCGACCCAACTTTTGTTTTTCTGTTTTTCAACTGTAGTGAAATTTGTCTAGTCTCTAGAGCTTGAATAATGTTTGTTTTTCAATGCCTGATTTATGAAGCCAATTTGTTTATTTATGACTCAAAAATAATTTTTTATGTTTATACACCTACTGCTCTTAAATTTTTTTTTAAAAAAACTGAGCCCCAATGCAGATCAGTACACATTATTATGTTATTCAAGGTTTAGTATGTACAGTATTCAGTTTAAAGCATAAAAATACTCACATTTTCACAAAAAGTAACATTTTCAACTTATTTCCACTTTGTTCCATTGAGGAGTTTTAAGGGGTTTTATAATTAAATTGCAGTGAAAAGAAAAATTAAATTAAGTCTGTATGTAGTTCATCCCAGAATGTAAAAGATCTCGAAACTTCAACTGTGATCAACAAAGGAGGTGGAAACACCTAGTCCATATTCTGCTGCCCACAGATGTGAGCGCCTTTAACTCACTCTCACCCTAATGTGCTCAAGTGAGGCCAACACAGATTATTATAATAAAAAAGACAAAACTCTTCCTAATTAATTGGCAAAAAGATTATTTGGTCTAATATTTTTTTAATCATTTTAAAATTATTTATAAAATATCCTTTAATTCATATTTGTCAAACTCAAGGCCCAGGGACCAAATGTGGCCCTCGTTGACATCTTATCTGGCCCCAAGATATGTTAAACATACTTTTGTTATTTTAATTTTTACAGTCATCTTTGACTTATTGTACTGGTGTACATATGTTTTTCTTTCATCTTTTATATTTTATTCGCACCTTTATGCCGAAGCAAGTGCCAAGTCTGTGAGTCCTGTTCAGTGACGACGGCAATAATAAACCAAATCTGAATGTGAATTATGATGCTGAAAGTGAAGCAGGGAACATCAAATGAGACCAGTCAAACTCTTGTTGAGGAACCTGGAACCAAGAAAAGATGTTGAGTATCTAACTTGAGTTAATGTAGATTCTGAAATTGGCCCTTAGTTTGAAAAAGGTTTTAATTTCAGCCCACTTTTGTAAATGAGTCTGACACCCCTGCTTTAATTTATAACAGAGAAAACTGTAGAGAACTAAATTCAGTGGAACTGAGGTTTTAATGTAGCGTTTCTCAGAGGCTCTCATGATATTCTGACCACCATCACTCTGATGATAGGGTGGTTAAAGATTTACAAACATGCATTTCTTCCTTGTGATGGATCGGTGACATGTCAAGGATGTGCCCTGCCTCTTGACCACTGACAGACACCAGTTCTCCCCCACCCCACCCCAAAGATCCTGAAAAGGATTCAGCAGAAAAGAAAATGGATGGAAGGACACATATTTGTTTGTACCTTGCTGTTGAGCGCATGCGAGGCCACAGAGCAGAGCATTATGACCGAGTCTTCCTGAACAGACCAGTGAACTCTCCGCTTGGTCATCATTTTTAGAGCCTTGTGGTCGGCCTCGTCATGGGCACCAGAGCGTACTTTGGGCTCTTTGCGACAAAAAGAGAAAATAAAAAAATTGGTCAGCTTTCATTTTTACACCTTAAAACATGCTTAAGAGACTTTTAATAACTTAAAATAGACTGTACCTTTTCTCTTCCTGCGTGGGGCCTTTACGACTTCCTTTTTACTTCTCTTCCTCTTTTGTCCCTTTCCTCCGACGATCTGCTGGATCCTGGAAGCCGGCTCTATGTCCACCTGGAGATCAGAACAAAACAAGCACCTCTGTGTTTAAATGGTGACTACATCACTCATTGTTTTTGACATTAGAGTAAGATATTTACCATATTTTTAGCTGTATAAGTCATGTTTTTTGTTTTTTTTTTGCATAATTTGAATGCACTGTGACTTATAGGCTGAAGTGACATATTTATGGATTTTTCCCCATATTTATAAACCAATTTTTGGCTGAGATATGACCGTATTCATTCATTCTGACTGAAAAAAATATCCAACAGTACCATTTTCAGCCACTAGATGGAAGTCAATTAGTATGGCATGCCGTCGTATCATGTAATGGAGTTAAACTCAAAGCAGTCTGCTCCTCAGATAAATAATCCATCCATCCATCCATTATCTTTACCCGCTTATTCTATTTTGGGTCACGGGGGTCGCTGGTGCCCATGTCCAGCAATCACTGTGCGAGGGGCGGGGTACACCCTGGATGGGTCGCAAGTCCATCACAGGGCCACATAGAGACAAACGAGACAAACAACCATTCACTTTCTCACTCACACCTAGGGACAATTTAGAGTTACCAATCAGCCTAACATGCATGTTTTTGGTCTGTGGGAGGAAACCGGAGCACCTGGAGAAAACCCACGCATGCACGGAGAGAACATGCAAACTCCACCCAGAAAGGCCCCTGGACTGGGGTTTGAACCAAGGACCTGCTCGCTGAGAGGCAGCAGCTCTACCAGTTGCGCCACCGTGCTGCCCCAGATAAATAATGTTAAATTATTATTTTTAAATATGAATGTTTCTGTTAACTTATTTTATAAATGAATTTTTTTCTGTTCAGTGCCCTGAGACAACTTCTGTTGCGATTTGGCGCTATATAAATAAACTGAATTTAATTTATTTAATACGTAAAAGTGGCTATTAACGACACAATCGGCTTGACAGACGGGTCGTCTGCCTGGAGCAACCATCAGCTTCGTTTCGCTGCACCGCCCCGGCAAAATTCAGCTGATTTGACGGTCAAGACAAGACACACCTTTATTACAAAGTCGAGATAACAAATAATTGTTTTAGGTGGTTATCTTGTTAAATTTCTAACAAATGGACAGTGAGTCGTCCCTCTGTGCGTTCATGTTTCCGAGTATCAGCTTTTGAAAATGCAGCTGATTTGACCATCAAAGTGCATTTATTAAGCAAAAGTTAGACTGAGACACACCTTTACTATAATTTAGAGCTAACAAAAAATAGTTTTTCGAATTCATTTCAATTCAAAAATACTTTTTTAATCCCAGAGGGAAATTACATAATTTTAGGTTTTAATGATTTTAATTTTAGGTGTTGATCTTGTTAAATTCTTGTTAAAGTCCTCCCGTGCACGCCTCCGCAGCTGCCATTTGGCAGCCAATTGATTTTTGGCACAACACTGGCTCACATTTCAAGGTTGTCAGCGGTGACGCGTAATAGATGCGACTTATATGACGAAGCGACATATTTATGGATTTTTCCACATTTTTAAACATATTTGGACTGATGTGACTTATAGGGCGGTGCGATGTGTACGGCAGAAAATATGGTAGTTGTGTTAATACTGTGAATAGATAAATATTTAAACTTCAGATAAGCAAAAGTTTGTCTGTTGATGAACTGGCTGGTAAGTATAAAGAAATCACAAGAAACAGTCACTAATAAGCAGCATACTAATTGTAAATTACTATAAAGTAATTAAAAGAATATATATATATATATATATATATATATATATATATATATATATATAGTATTTAAAAAACATGAAATTGTTTTTTCTTTTCAGCTGCTCCTTTACACAGGGTTTGCCACAGTGAGTAAACTTGCATGAAAGGTTTTATACCAGATGCCCTTCCTGATGCAACCTGGACTCAAACCTGCAACTTTAGAACAAGAAGAGCACTGCACTGACCACTGAGCTACCGCAGCCCGCTTTTGGTGAAGTCAAATGTTTTTTTGATTTTTTTTATACAAACAACATATTGAAAGTAAATCATTTCAAGAAACACTACATTCATTCATTCATTCATTCATTCATTCAAGCTTTATTTAGCCAAGTAAATCCCATTGAGCCTCGCGGACTCATTTACAAGAGAGACCTGACCTAACTGCTGTTTAAGTAGTGATAGTTGAACATGATAAAACAAACATTTATTATAAATCACTGCTTTGTGAAGGTTATAATAAATCAATTAAAACTTTTACATATTGAGGTTTTAGCTTGAGACCATACACAACATTACTCTGTATGTGCCGGGGGACTGGATCTTTGGGATGAACCAGTCTTTAATGTATTTTGGGGTTTAAAAGCCACTGGGACGTTATGTTTAGAAAATAAACGTCTCAGTTTCTCTGATACTCCCTCAACATATGGAATGACCACTGGTCTGGGTCTGGGTTCCTCCTTTTCACCTGATGGCTGACTGGAGTCCTGTTTGGGTTTCTTCTCTGCTTTCAGGAAGGCCCAGTTAGGATATCCACATTGCTCTAGAGCCTGTCTTGTGTAGGATTTCTCCTTCTGCCTGGCTCCTGAGCTAGTGGGGATGCTGTCTGCTCTGTGATACAGAGTCCTGATGACTCCTAACTTGTGCTCCAAAGGGTGATGGGAGTCAAACTGCAAATACTGGTCTGTGTGGGTGGGTTTGCGGTACACCTCAGTTTGCAAATGTCCTCTATCAGAGACTGAGACCTCACAGTCCAAGAACGTCAACCTGCCATTTTTTACATCTTCTCGTGTGAACTTGATGTATTTATCCACAGAGTTGATGTGGTCAGTAAGAAGTCCAACATTTTACAGAATATCAACATCATCTGGCCAGCGGTCACTCTTTCAGGGATGAAGATGTTCACATCCTGGATAGCGAGGAACGATGGTTTGAGAGAGGAGTAAAGGAGGCCATCTTTGTGAAAAGAAATCGTCCATCATTAAACAGGGGTGGAGGCCTCCGGGTTCAACTGTCCCCCTCTTACAATGCTGTTATACCATACCACTTTATTTATAAAGCACTTAAAACAGCAACAAGGCCAACCAAAGTGCTGTACAGACAAAACAACAGGTAACACACAAAGCAAAATACAAAATGAGGTAAATCAGAATATAGACAAAAAACGATGCAGATAATGACGACAAACCAGTGTGGATCATACAGGATCAAAACACAGATCATCTGGTGTTGAAAACTGTTGAATAGTAGTGAGTTTTTAAACGGGACTTGAAAACTGAAAGGGAGGGGGCCTGTCTGACAAGCAGAGGTAACTCGTTCCAGAGTCTTGGTCCTGCTACAGAGAAGGCCCCGTCACCTCTGCGCTTAAGACGAGTTCCTGGAACTGTGAGGAGCAACTGGTCCGCTGACCTCAGGGAACGTGGTGGGACATACGGTTGTAGCAAATCAGAGAGATGGGGGGGGGGGGGGGGTTTGACACTGTTCAGTGATTTGTAGACATACATGAGTATTTTGAACTGGATTCGAAAGTGAACCGGTAACCAGTGCAGTGAGGCCAAAACTGGTGTAATGTGCTCTCTTTTGCCTGTACTGGTTAAAAATCGGGCTGCTGCATTCTGGACCAGTTGTAGTCGTGCAATGGAGGTCTGACTGATACCAAACAGGAGCGAATTGCAGTAATCAAGCCTAGATGTAATGAATGCATGTATTACTGTCTCCAGGTTATTGCTAGTATCACTCAACCCTCTGTGAATAGTAAACAGCCATCAGTGTGCTAATGATCCATTGTTAGGCTGATGGTCCTTCTTGACCATGTGAGCAGCTGGTTTTGGTTGTCAGCAGCAAAACTGGTTGATCCACTCTGAGAAGGTGCTATTTAAGAGACTGAGCTGAATACAGCACCTCAGACTGAGGAAGTCTTTCGGATGAAAGACGAAACGTTTCTAAATTTTTTTTTTGTTTTGCTTTGTTTTTTTTTTTGAATGCCCAGAGGACCAGATTGAACTTTTTTAGGTCCTCTGGATGGATTCTTCTTTGATGAAATTTGTCTTTTAAAATACCTTTCGTCTGAGGAGCTGCAACAAACTCAAGGGCCTGACATATTCCATCCGAAGTGCTGAAATCGGCTCTTATTGTTGCCGTTACGTGACGAAAATTACATCATTTTGTTCAAGGAGCAGCTTCACTCACCCCTTCTCGACACAAGGTCCAGGCCAAACTTTTTCCCACAGGTGTATGCGTATGTGTAATGTATTGCGTGATTGGTCAGATGTCTGTGGGCGTGTTTGTCAATGTGGAAATGCGCTCGGACATTCAGCTGCACGAATAAACAAACACAATAAATTACTGATGGTCAAATGGTCAAAAACTCCTGGATGGAGCAGGAGTCTATCTGCTGAAAAGTGTGGCCATTTCTTCATGATAGATTTGTGGCCAAACGGTGGATGTAGGGATGGAGTGGTGACAATGGTGGGAAGAAACCCTGTGGCGATGTATACTGCAGCAGGAGGGGTTTACCAGGAGCTCCGCATCTGTGTCTCATGAACTATGAAAGGTGTGTGCAAAAACAAACGTCCCGCAACCCACAAGACCGCGAGTCAACTGTTGGGCCTGTTCGTCTTATAAGCAGCATCTTCTCATAGTGGATCAACCAGTTTGCTGGCGACAGCCACAACTACTTGTGTAGTAGTCACGTAGGTACGTGCCACTAGTTGTAGTATGACAATATATGAGATATATGCATACAATATTCACGAGTTCCTCATCTTTCTGACTGTGTAAGGTCGTGCATTGAATTTAACAGAAATGTAACGAGAGACGTTATTTATCTTTGACCCATCAAATCAATGCGGTCATTTATTTTCAGAATCAAAGTTTAACATCAAACATTTACATTGATTTGGCAAAATATGAAAATAATAACAGACAAGTTTCACAGAAAAGGGACATCGATCACTCGGCGGTGAACGAGGACTTTGCTTCAGATATTTCTAAAATATCTGTACTGATTTTATGAGAAAGAGAGAAGAGTTTAAGATGAAATGGAGTTATCTTACAGAGAGATATGTGAGGGAATTAATCTGTTTGACCAGAACGTGCACGCTTCATCAGATCTCAGCTTGCTTCCGGTACACTTTAGTCGAAGAAGAAACTGTTACCTGGTTGACGATGACTCAATGTCGGTATAGAATCCTTCAGACTTTTCAGCGTCTCCGTTGAGAGCAGCTGAAATCCTTCGAGAGTCGTGCGTGGTGTTCAAACAGAAATTATAATTCCAAAACGTCTCTGGATCATCCTGAACGCGTTTGCACCCAAGAACTCTGAACTCCTTTCATTCTTCAGAACTTCTCAGACTCTAACAGAATCTTTCAACTCCAGCAACTCTGTAGTTCTTCATCTCCTCAGGCTCTCCAGCTTCTGGAATTCTCTGGAATTCTACTGAATTCTCCTGAATTCTCCTGAATTCTCACATGAACTGGGAAGTTGCCACATTTTAAATGGGTCGACTTCCGGTTCATTTGAGAGCCTTTGATTGGTCGATGGACCAGGAACAGAGGTGTGGTTTATGATGTAAGATGTTATCAAAAGTCAAGGATTGTTTAGTAACAAACAGAAAGATTATTGTAGGACTTCAGACTTCGTGGAGTCTGACACTTATAATCTTTTGCAAAAGTTTAAACATGACATCTTTCTCGGTAAACATTTTAGTTGACCGAAAACCAACCTTTCACATACTTACAAAACTTGGCTCATTTCAGACAGAAAATCAAGAAATGCATATTAACCTGATTTCTTCTTTAAATGAGGAATAAAAATCATTACTTACTGTTTATGTAAAATAAAAATGAGTAGTTCTCTTCAACCTGTAAACATTGAGTGAACTAACACAATTTTGATTATCAAACATTTTGTAAAACAGTGATGATCATAGAGAATTGTCTTTTCTGCTTGATTAATTCAAGAAAGAAAGTCATCAGATGGCTCAGACTGTATTCAGATCAATGAAATAACAGTCCCTGTCCATCTGATAGATTTGAGGTCATCAGGGTCAGATCAGGGTCAGATCAGGTTCACTACACTTGTTCACATGCAAAAGGATCAGCTTAACAAGTGATAGTGCCGTGATAGCCGCTTGCTATTCACAGGGGGCTGAGTAACACTAGCAATAACAGCACTGTAAGAGAGGGACAGTTGAACACGGAGGACTCCATACTTTTTAACGATTAAATTTATATTTCTCTAAGTTATGTCTAACAAGTTACATCTAGTATAAATTTATCATAGAGTTGTTAAAAAAAACAGGATTTGTTGCATTTGTTTTTAGAAAGCAGGCCTAGCATTTTTATACTTTATATTTTTGCTATTTTTGGGTGTAACTTGGACCTTGAGTACACAGTTTTGTTCCGCCTCATGTACTGCATGTGATGCAATGACAATAAAGAAACCTCAATCTTGAGCATTCCCTTAAGAAACGCACAAGAATAAAATAAAAACACACCTCCACATTTTCTGTCATCAGAGGCTGCTTGTTGGTCAGGTACCGAGGTAAAGTGCTGCTTCCTGTTGATGAAGAGATGGTGATGAGTAACTGAGCTTCACAAAAATCACTGTCAGTGGTTAAAAGGTAAAAGATCAATCTGCTCCAGGAACCTCACCAGCTTGAAGTGTCAGCCTGAGAACATTCCTGCTCAGCAGGCTCTTTAGTCTCATTTTGGTCTGAGTCGCCTCCTCATCACTCGGCTTCTGAAAATAAAACAGAAATTTAGATCTATATCAGACACATACAAAAATACGCATTTGGCATGCATCTTTGGTAATTAAATACCTTTTTACAAACAAGTAGATGATTGGTCCACAGCCAGTTGCGTTTAAGATGAGCGAAGAATTCAGAGTCCAGACCTGCCGCTCCTTTTCCGTCTCCTGGTGTGGACCCGTCGTCACACACTTCAAAGCTGCCACTGAGTGTGTGTGCACACAGAAGAAAAAAAATCATCAACATACAGTAAAACTTTAATACACGGAATAAATTATACCGTCACTGGCGCTTTAACAGCCTTGATTGTTATTTATTTTACAAAAATTAAAGAGAAAAATCTAACGAAAGGGCGAATGTATTCAAAAATGCACCTTTTTTTCTTTTTATAAAATTTTAAGTTTAAAGCTTGAACTGTGAAAAAATCTATTATTCATTAACAGAAAAAAAAATCTAAATTTTAACTAGTCATTCATATTTTGTTTGATTTGATCCTAAGCATTCATACAAAATAATAAGAAAGCAAATCCGAAAGACTAATTCAGATCTTTTGAAGTGGGGTTCTACGGAAAAGTTATGAATATCTTACCTGTTGTAGATAGCGCTTCATTTTATAAATCTGTAACACTGTAAACTTTTTGTTCAGTTATTTACATGGAATTCTTTCATTATTTTTAGGTGCAATTTGCAAATAATGGCAGTAACAGCTAACTGTAGCATTTCCTACAGGAATGTCATAACATTTCTGACAGTGATGCAAAATTAACACTAAACGTTTTAAAGCAGAGTTTGCATGAACCTCTTTAAAATCTTTTGAGATTGAAGGTATTTAAGTTATGCAGCAATCCGCTTTGGTCTTGGGCCCACTCAGACTAGCCATTAGCTCATCAGTATTGTCAGAATTAAGCGCCATTTCTCCAAACTGAAGTTTTCAGAGCTGCATACAACAGGTGGGATAATTGTTCAGAACCTTCCCATTTCAAAATATTTGAACTACCACTATAATGCATTCATGACTGTTAATTCTCCATAAATGTTTACTGTTTTTTTTTTTTAGAAAATAGTCATACTCCACCTACTTTAGCAGGTGTGACAGGTGTGCAAACACATAGCGATCATGTACAATGGAAGGAGGAGGTTCATCTTCTGTGGCAGTTCTTTTACTACGAACCACCCCTTTAAAAAAAAAAAAAAGCAAAGAAATAATCACACCTTTTTGCAGTAAACATGATAATCGATCATAAAATGTTGATGTAAATGCCCTTATGGTTGTGTATTCATGTACCCAGTGGTGTATTGAGGCAGACACACATCAGGTCAAACCAGTAGCGCTCCACATCCTCTAAGGTCTTGAACGTGTATGGACGGGTCTCAAAAGGTTTGTCAGGCGGTTCTGTGACCAGACAGTAGTGAGGCTCACAGCTAGAGGTGTCAACAATAGTGGCATTACGTTTCAGATACACACACACCTGCGTTGAAGCAAGAAAATAAATAAACAAGTAAAAATTTGCTTAGGTTTTGCTTGAGTTAAGAGTTCTTTTACAACAAAATTACACTTACTAATATTATTCAATTATTGCCAGTTTCCAGGCTTTAACAAATCCATCCATCCATTATCTTTTACCCGCTTCTTCCATTTTGGGTCACGGGTGTTGACGGTGCCCATGTCCAGCAATCACTGTACGTGGGGCGGGGTACACCCTGGACAGGTCTCCAGTCCATCATAGGGACACAGAAACAAACGAGGCAAACAACCATTCACTCACTCACTCACACCTAGGGACAATTTAGATTAACCAATCAGCTTAACATGGATGTTTTTGGACTGTGGGAGGGAACCGGAGTACCCAGAGAAAACCCATGCATGCACGGAGAGAACATGCAAACTCCACCCCGAAAGGCCCCCGGACCGGGATTTGAACCGGGACCTGCTTACTGAGAGGCAGCAGCTCTGCCAATTCCGCCACCGTGCTGCCTGCTTTAACAAACGTATTCCTCAATTCTAAGATTCCCAGAGAATAAACATAGTTTTACGTGTTTTACCTATGAAATAAGAATAAAAACACAAATTTATAACCTTAAATCTAATTCTGTAAGGAAAATGATTGAACCTGTTAATATCCATATTATTTCCAATTACCATTTTTAAATCCTCATGACATATTTAGTTTATGTGGGTTTTTAAAAACCAAGTGGTCAAACCATGCGGTCAAACCAAGAGGGCCAAGTGGTCTGCAGCCTTGACTGTTGATGAGCAAAAGCTTGGATGTGGGAGGAACTCGGTGAGACCCTGGAGAACGACTCTTGGTTGGCTCCGAGGAGATTCTGACAAACCATTAGGCAGCTGAGGAGGGGAAAGCAGTGCTTTACTAACACTGTGCTCTGTGAAGGTGGGCTGCTGTTGACCTCAACCAGTGATGTCATCAGGGGGTGGAAGGAATACTTCTCAGAGCTTCTCACTCCCACTGACACGTCTTCCATGGAGGAAGCTGAGTCGAGGGACTTCGGGGTTGGTCCGTCCAAAACTGTAGCTGACGTCGCTGAGGTAGTTAAAAAGCTCTGAGGCAGCAGGGCTCCGGGGGTGGATGAGATTCGCCCTGATTTCCTTAAGGCTCTGGATGTTGTGGGGCTGTCTTGGCTGACACGTCTTTGCAACATCACATGGACATCTGGGACAGTGTCACTGGATTGGCAGACTGGGGTGGTCCTCTTCAAAAAGGAGGACTGGAGGGTGTGCTCCAATTATAGGGGCATCACCCTCCTTAGCCTCCCTGGTAAGGTCTATTCAGGGATACTGGAGAAGCGAGTCCAATCGTTAGTCGAACCTCAGATTCAGGAGGAACAATGGTAAATGGTAAAAGGACTGTACTTATATAGCACCTTTCTATCTTATCAAGACACTGAAAGCACTTTACAACAATCTGTGCCCTCATTTACCCATTCATACAGCACTCTACTACATCTATACAAAGCTAATTGAACAAATCATTCTAAAGAGACTGATCAGTGCTTTTTTATCACATTCACACACCGATGAGACACACATCGGAGACAATAAGGGGTTTAGTGTCTTGTCCATGGACACTTCAGCATTTGACTGCTGGTGCATTCGAACCCCCAACTCTTACATTGAAGGACGACTGCTGTAACAACTCAGCCACAACCACCACTCAGCCAATGTGGGTTCCATCCTGGCTGTGGAACTCTGGACCAGCTCTTTACCCTCACTAGGTCCTCGAGGGGTCATGGGAGTTTGCCCATCCAGTCTACATATGTTTTGTGGACTTGGAGAAGGCATTTGACTGTGTTCCTCGGGGTACAATGTGGGGGTGCTCTGTGAGTATGAGATTGGGGGCCCATTGTTATGGGCTGTTCGGTCCCTATAAAAGCAGTGAGAGAGTTTGGTTTGTATTGCCAGCAGGAAGTCAGACCCCTTCAGGGTGGGAGTTGGACTCTGCCAGGGCTGCCCGTTGTCACTGATTCTGTTCATAACTTTTATGGACAGAATTTCTCGGTGCAGCCAGGGAGTGGAGGGATTCTGGTTCGGTGGCCTCAGGATTCCATGTCTGCTCTTTGCAGATGATGTGGTCCTGTTGGCGTCATTGTGCCATGATCTTCAGCTCTCACTGGAACGATTCGCAGCCGAGTGTGAAGCGGCTGCGATGAGAATCAGCACCTCCAAATCTGAGGCCATGGTCCTGAACTGGAAAAGGGTGGATTGCTCTCTTCAGGTGGAGGGTGAGGTTCTGAATCAAGTGGAAGAGTTCAAGTATCTTGGGTTATGTTCACGAGTGAGGGAAGAATGGAGCATGAGATTGACAGACGGATTGGTGCAGCATCTGCAGTATTGCGGACTCTGTACTGGTCCGTTGTGGTGAAGAGAGAGCTGAGTTGTACGGCAAAGCTCTCTGTTTACCGGCCGGTCTATTTTCATACCCTCAAATATGGTCACGAGATCTGGGTAGTGACCAAAAGAATGAGACTGCAGATACAAACGGTTGAAATGAGTTTCCTCCACAGGGTAGCTGGACTCTCCTTTAGAGATAGGGAGAGAAGTTCAGTTATCTGGGAGAGACTCGGAGTAGAACTGCTGCTCCTCCACATCAAGAGGAGCCAGTTGAGGTGGTTCGGGTATCTGGTAAGGATGCTTCCTGGGCGCCTCTGTAGTGAGGCCCTTTGGGGCATGTCCGACTGGAAGGAGACACCAGGGAAGACCCAGGACACACTAGAGAGAGACTGTCTCTCAGTTGGCCTAGGAACACCTTGGGGTCCCCCCAGAAGAGGTGGAAGAGGTGGGTGTGGAAAGAGATGTGTGGGCCTCCCTGCTCAAGCTGCTGCCCCTGCGGCTTGACTTCAGAACAAGCGGAAGATAATGGATGGATGGATAGATTTTTTTAAATACCTACCGGTAATATCTTGTACAGTTGATGAAAGGAGCAAAGGCACATCTTTATTCTGTCATGACCAACAGAGTTAATGTGAAGTTCAATACCTGATCTTTATCCTTAAACTTCTCTATAGGGCCAAACTGTAGCAAACCCATGTAGACCAGCCTCTGAAGGTTCTCATGAAACGAGTGAATGTATTTCCTAAAATAAGAAAACACTAAAATCTTAATTTTCAAATTCAAGATATGATGTGTTTCAGAGAGTTAAATAGAAACAGAGCAAAGCAGAGATAAAGAAAGTCACCGTTTATAAAGAAGCTGCCTTTTGGTTTGTGCAGGCAGCATTCTAACAAGGTAGTGCTGCTTCACAGGGTCACTGATGAACTCCTCCAGTCTGTCCACCTGTGGATACAGATCAGATATGAGTTAAGTCCTGCATGGTGCTTGAAATTTGCTTATAAAATGCAAAAAGTGGCAAAATGATTTCTTTAATGATTGCTAAAGCGACGGGGGGAAACAAGATCAGCATTTTGATCTTAGCTTTATGGTATAACTGTTTAATTGTGGCTTATTCACCTTAATTATTTCAACAAACTAAATATTATAATATGTGGCTTATTTGAAATTAAAGGTTATTTAAAATGACACGAACTGGCACAGATTATTTACTTTTATGTCACCACAACAGTTTTTCTGCACACCTGGTCAGCAGGATAAACGCGACAGTTAAAAATAAAAAACAGTATTTGGTCTTACCATGTAATTAATTTGTACGCACTGCACAAAAATAGATAGAGGCAAACAGAGGAGAAGGTCGCCGACCATCGCCCAGCCATAACTAAAATCCTTGCGGACCCGAACAGGAGGGACAAATCTCTTCCATGAGTCCTCATCAACATACACTATCACAGAAACACAGATTGTTTTAAAAAAAATAGTCTGTTTTTAAATGGGAAAAAAAAGTTTGAACCTAGAGTTTAGTTATAAGTAAAAGTGTGCAGAAATGATACAGATATAAGTAAAATTAAGCTTCTCTGAAGTAAAAGTAGCATTTCTTAAAGAAAATATGACAATACTACTAATAATACATTACATTTGAAGGCACTTTTCATGATACTCAAGGACAAGGTACAATAAAATACAATGTAAAATGCAGGAAAAACAACAACAAAATATATTTTAAAAATCGTGCATAACAAACACAGGTAGTGTAACGTGAGGTTAGAGTGAGTAGGACTGTTTAAAGAGGAGAATTTTGATGCAGGATTTGAAAATGGAGAGGGTGGGAGAGGTGTTGATGTCCAGGGGGAGAGAGTTCCGGAGGTGGGGCGCTGCGTGACTGAGTGCTCTTGAGCCCACAGTGGTCAGACGAGTAGGTGGTTGGGTGAGTTGGGTGGAGGACCCGAAAGTGCAGGTGGGTGTGTTGATGTGGAGGAGTTCTGTGAGACACTGAGGGGTGAGGATGATGAGGGCTTTGAAGGTAAGAAGCAGGATTTTGCATGAAATACAATATTTAAGTGGAGCCAGTGAAGATGATGCAGGACAGGGGTTTATCCGACTGATGGAAGTTCTGGAGATAATGTGAGCGACCGTATTGTACCAGTTGGGAGTTTATGGATGAATCTTGCTGGTAAACTAAAAAGAAGGGAGTTGTGGTAATCTAGGCGGGATGTCACCAAAGAGTGAAGCAGAATGGCAGTACTGCTGGATGACGGGTACGGATGGAGGCAAGAGATGTTGCAGAGGTAAGCTGAACGAATGATATTACAAATATGGGATTAAAATGATAATGTATTGTCTAGGATGACAACCAAAAAGAAGTATTCAAAAATATTTTGCCTTGCAAACCAAAGTTTAAAGCAAAGACCGCCCACAACCTGTTACAGCTCAGACTATCTGATGGGCATGACTTTCAGCTACTAATAAACTACATTTTAGATCAATACCTGTAAAATTAACAGTTATAGCATTTTATTTATTTTTTTTTACACAAAAAACAATAAAGTGGATTAGTTATGGTAGCCATTTCAATTTGGGTCGATTCTAAAAGATAATCAGATGTAAACGAACATCAATCCCATGATTGTTTGCTGAAAGTTTCATTAAAATCTGCCTACTGGATCATGACATATTTTGTTCACAGATAAATGAATACACACAGACACATAGGAGCCATTACATGATTGCCCACTTTTCATGGTGGAAGACAGTTTCCCCAAACAATGCTCTCTTACCTTTTATATTCGAGTTGGAGTCTTCAGGCTGTGCTGTATCGTTCATACACTCTTCATCATCTGACACCTCCTCCAGGTTAGACACACCAGGGCTTCCAGTTTCCTCCAGATCCTGCTGTACGTCGCTATTTTGGAGTTTACCATCAGAACTGGAGCTTTCTGGTTCTGCTGGGGTTTCATTTCCCCAGTTTGTCTCAGTGGAGTCTTTTCTCAGTGGGTGTTCGTAAACAAGGTACCAGAGAAAAGTATGGATGGCGTGTAGACGCTGCATCTTGGGTTGGAAGCCCATAGACTTCCCCTGTCCACGAACTACAAACAGACAGAGAGAAACAATTAAACAGGAGGAAGACAAACATTTTAAGAATGGTATCAACTTTTAAAATGTGCTCAGTTTTTGCAATTTATTTTACTGTAAGACAGCAAACTGATCACATTTAGGTTTAGGACAACTGGTTGGACTTTTATAGCTTTGGACTTTTGAAACTTTGTACCATACGTTTGGAGAATTTCCAGAAAATTAATTGAGATGACACCTGCAAATTTGTATGTGTTTTAGCCGTCTGCTACAGACTGATAGGCCAGTGGTTGGTGCTTAAAGCCAAAAGAAATCAAGTTTGCTATTAAAGAATGACTCAAGTCCTTAGCAAGTTACATCACCATGTAAATCCAGAATAAATAACTGGACAAAATACAGTAGTCCCTCGATACTTCGTGGTTCAACTTTCGCGGATTCACTCTTTCGCGAGTTTTCAACGTACAATTGAATACGATGTCATGGAACAAAAGAAGATTCCCAGAACAGACCAAGATGTACCGGTAGTTCATCAGATTTATTTACAAAGCTTCGGAGAGCAATCCAACAATTCACAGAACATGCGATTACAAGATTACACTGTTATCAGTGCTCTCATCCATGTGAAACCCTGACCTGCTCTAACTCTCTGGGCCGGACAAATTAGTTTTATAGAGTAATCTTCCAGCCCAGGCCTCAGCTCCTCCCCTCCATGCCCGAGAGCCATCATTGAAAGGTCCGCTTGCAGACAGGAAGGAGTGGAACTGAGTCAAGGACTCTGCCTGAGACATGTCACCATATCAACTCTATTATATCAATGTCATATCTATCAGCCCTTTAGGATATCAAAACAACCAGTTCTTTCTGTTCCTCACTGATTTATCACAGTAGGAGTGACTACATGGGACCGTTAGTATCACACATCACAACATGTGATGTCATGGTCGTGCTGCTGCTCGGCGTATTGTTTTATGCTATTAGTGCTTAGCGTATTTTTGGTTTATGTTTTTCTTAGTTCATATCTTAGATCTTATTACTTTTTCTCTTTTACACTTTATTGTTGGATGTAACTGGGACCCTGTGTACACAATTTCATTCCACCACATGTGCCACATGTGGTGCGAATGACAAATAAAAAAAACTCTGACTCTCTGAACATGAGCAAAAGGACATTGCAGAATGTTCCAACAGGAGAGGTATTGATCATGATGAGTGCAAATAATACACATTACATTGACACACAATTTGCTAATTGATGGAAGGTGACCAACCAGAGTGTTGTGCTGAGGGGTGGACTGGCCATCGGGAGCACCGAGACATTTCCTGGTGGCCTGGCACGCTCAGTGATTGCTGAGGATCCCCCTGCTTTCTCTTTTTGAGGCTGTCTGTCATAGCAGAGCAGAAACACACAACAGGCGGGCGCGCAACCTGTTGTGTGTCTCTGCTCTGCTGTAACAGACAGCCTCAGGAAGAGAAAGGAGGTGGGGGCTGTCTTTCCCCATCACTACTGTTCAGTCTGCAGGAGCTTCAGTGAGACAGATACCTGAGTGAGCGGCATGGATTGTTTTTTTTAAATAATCAAGTGAGACTTGAACCGAGCATTTGGTCCAGCAATCATTTGGTCCTTGGCAATCACTGAGCGGGCCAGGCCACCGGGAATATCCCGGTGCTCCCGATGGCCAGATTGGCTCAGTGACCGTAGCATCAGTCTGTCTGCTCTCGTTCGCTGTGCTCTTTTAGAGCATTTAGATTTTAGAAAATTGTTAAGAACATTGCAAGAGTGTGGGAAGGGTTTATAAAACATAAAAA